ATTTTTCTAGCAATTTCTTTTGCCTTCAACAATCGAAAACTCCCTATCATCAACACTATTGCCTCAAACCATCATTAACATTTTTTTAGTAGTCTCATCTACCTTCAACCATCGTGAATTATCTTCTTTTTTTTATTAATGTTGTTATCATTTGGTCAATACATTATTGACTCTTTTCCTCTCTCACCTAAATCTCACATCATAAATTACTTTGTCATTGTCGATATTTTCAACACCATCTCCTTTATTTTCAATTACCGCGAACCACCCTAGTGTCATTTAAGCAAAATACTATTGACCTTCTTTCCTCTCTCATGCTTAAGCATTTTGTTTAGCATAATTGTTAGAAGGTAAATGTCACTGCTATGGTGGTTGAAAAAGATGTTATAAAAGAAGAAGAAAAGAAGAGAAACGGACAATATTGTTCAAAAATCTCAAAAGTCAAGGACGAACATAAATTATTTTTGACAAATTTTAAAATGATATTTTTGTATCTTTTCATGTGTTATTTAACGTCATAAATCATTAATTTGTGACTCATTATTAATATTTCTTAATAATAAGGATTAAATTGATTAATTGTTGTTAATTTCATATACTCTAGTTTAAAATTTTAATTTAAAAAGATTAATTTGAATTGTATACTTCAAAAACTAAAGTACAAGTTTACTTAATATAAAAATACGGAATAGTTAGTCAATTTATTACATAAACCTTTTTGTGTTATTTAATTACACAAAAGACAATTACTTATATATATATATATATATATATATATATATTTTGTAATATCCCTTATTTATAAAAAAAAATTCTCCTTTAAATATAGAAATATCAATATGATGTGATTAAAATAAGTGAAAGATAAATAAATATAAGAAAAATTTTTGTGAATGTAAAATCTGGATCACCAAAATAGTCAAAATTAAAAATTTTATACATATAAATTTTGTTCTAATAGCATTGAAGACATAATTTTGCAATTATAAATTTGCAATTAAAGAAAAGCTAAAAATTTTATATTAATAATTAATTACTAAATATTACACCTATACTTTGAATTATTATTTAAAATGATAAATCTTATAAATAACTTTGAATGGAAACTCAATTAATAGTATATTTACAATTTTTTCAATAAAATAAATTTGCAAAGCAGTTCCTTTCTTACCATTCTTTGTAAGTATGATTCTAGAACGGATCAATCACCTTTTTATCACTCCATTACATGAAAAAATTTGTAAGGATGAGCATTCCTCGTCCTACAAGAATTCTTATTTTATAAAATAATAAATAATAGTGCAAAAGCATTTTCTAATACAACATGTAAGAATAACAATGTTCCATACTTAACAAATTTAACCAGACAAATTACTCATACGTAATTCATTTCTTATTTAATTAACCCAATCAAATTCAATGCCACAATTCATACTACTTTACTTATTCATACAATTTTAATTAACAAAAATTATTCATGAATATTACTCCACATTTAACCAAATATCATTATCCAATCTATATCTTTATGCCACTTTATTCATCTCAAGTCTGAATATCTCATCAATTAACAGTACTCTAAGTACTCTCGGGTCCCTAAATCGCTGCCAATGCACACTCCTTAGTTACGAAAGACTTATGTAGCATGGATAGTCGATAGTCAGCTAAACCGCACACGGATACAACGTATGCATTCACAGCCTTCCAAGCAAAGGTATAGTTAGGAGTTCGGTCAAAAAATGTGTGTGAGGCTTGTAAATTACTTTTACATTGTGTACACATTAGTGAACTACATTTACCACTCTCATTTCTACCATATTTCTATAATCAACTTCAGACCCTATACTCCAGTGTATCCCTAAACTGTTCATACAGTATCTTAATAGTGGCACATCAATTTATACCATTCTAATACATATGTTGTAAACACACTAATCGATGCACTACAACACATGTGTTATAATCTTACCTGTTGGTGTATTACAACGCATCTATCATAATGGTACTAATCTGTGTATTTGTAACACACGTACTAGTGTCCCTTTCTCTACACATATTCATCACCTTTCAATTTTCACAATTTCCCTTTCTCTCATAATCAATTGTATACTTTCTTAAAGATTCTCAAACATTCACACTTATTCAAACTTAACCCAACTCACACATTATGATACAATACCTTTTATATCACTCTCACACAACAACAAACTTCTCAATTACGTATATAATCACAAGGTAGACACATATCATCACATAATTACATACAATATGCCGAAAGTCAGACACCCTCAAACTCAGCCCAAATCGTGCAGTCTAGAATATACTGTCGGAGATCACATTCTCTTGGTCTTAATGACTTTAACTTGTGTATTTTTGCTTAGAATATCCTACAAAACTAGTTCAACAACAAAACTACATAAGAATTACTAAAAATAAAAATTAAATTTATTGAACAATTAGATATTTTTGTACAATTTTCATCTTCCAAATTACTCTTTTATATTAAAAAGATCCTAAAAAACTAACTAAAAACTAACAAAATATGGATTTATCATTCTGTAAGACACTTTCACACTGATCATGGGTGCCACCATCGACTCATCTTCTTGTTTGAGTTGGTCACTTAAATCGACACGACTTTGATACCATTGTTGGGGAGTTAAGAAAGGAAAGGAGAGCCTCTAAGTGTAAGACACCATAATGCAACCCATAAACCTTAAGGTATTAGGTGCATGACTCTATCTCCTTATAAACCCTTAACTTGTCCTATCCTATCCTATGTGAGATTTCCTTCTATATTCACACTTGATTCCAACACCTTGAACTTCCACTTCAAGCCCTCAAGCTACAAGACACTTTCTCAATTAGGGATGGCAATGGGTAGGATACTATAGTATCCATTCCCATACCCGCATTTAAAAAAAATACTCGTATCCAACTCTATACTCGCGTAGATAGTAATTCTAATCCTTATACTCATATCCTTTAGATACCCGCCCTTATTACCTGCGTTTGTTTAAAAAAAAAAAACACATAAAAAAGTATGTTTATATAATTTTATATAAGTAGTATAATAATATAAAAGTTTGATATATAATTACCAAACAAAGTTTAAGCGTAGATAGAAAACAAGATCTCTTCTAGACTTTTATGTGAATATTCTCTAAACTCCAAATGGTCCACTACAGCAAGTGGATACTCATGAATTATTATTATATAAGCAAGATCTCTTCTAGATTTTTCTGAATCAAAGTGATAATTACTCAAATAAGTGGATGATCCGTCTACTTTCTTTTGTTCTCTTAATAAAATTGATTGTCTTATATCCTTATATGGCCTTCTCTTGCAAGTTTGAAAGTATTTATGCAAATGACTTGTTCCGTCTGATCTTCTATCTATTAGTTGCTCGTTGCAATAATTGCATATAGTTTTTTATTCTCCATTAATAATTTTTTTTCTTCTTAAAGTGATTCCATACAATTGACATCTTTCTTTCTTTTTTATCATCAGTTGTATCATAATCATCTCCATCTATCGAAATAGGAAGTGTATTAGATTGTGATTTAGATTGACCTCTAATATTAGAATTGTCATCCAGTCTATAATCATTAAGTACACTTTTAGGAGCATTTGCAAGTTGTGTGGGAGTAATGAAAATAATTGGAGAAGAGCTACTTTTAGATTAAGCTGCTCCACATACAATTTTCATTTGTTATTACGTGTATCAAAGCAAAAACTTAAATAAAAAAATTTATTCAACTTAAGTCAATATAATATCACATAATTTTAATCACTAAACATTTTGTATGTATCATATATAAATATTTTTTTTAAAAAGTCTGTCTCATATCAACCATGTAAGAATTAAATTGTATTAGCTTAGATAAATGATATAAAATATAAAATAAATTTTTCTATTAGAAATATGAAAAAAATTTATAATTTACTTTATTGGTAGATATATTTTTATGTTAATCTTATAAAACAAATTTAATTAGATAGATTCTTATTTTTTTAAATATGCATTTTTTTATTTAAGTAACATAAATATTTATATTAAATTTTTTAATCTTTTATTTGGCATAGAAAAATTTTGAAAATAGAGAATTATAAATTGAAAGACAATATTACTCAAAAATTTAAAATAGAAAATTTGTCCATTAAAAAAATAATTATAGCTTATAAAAGAACTTGAATTGAGTAAAAAATATAAGACATGAAATTATATAAAATAAATAATGAAATCATTATCTTGATCAAAATTTTACAAAAGTATCTACAAAAACCTTTCTAAAAACTAAAAGTGAGTTATATTCTTGTTTTCTTAAATTCTTAGTTGCTCCATTGTAAATAAAATATTTTCTTAAATTCTTAAATTTTCAATGACTATAGAGGAGACCTAGCTAAATATATAAAGTATTAACCCAAATTTTCTCCCATCTTGTGTTTGGGTTAAGGCTTCCCTCACATAAATAGCATAATTAATAATTATATATATATATATATATATATATATATATATATAATTACTTGCTAAATAAATATAGGTATGAATATAGGAAATACACACAATTTCAATAGAAATGGGTGCGAGTATGGTATAGGCACCTAAGTACCTATCTTTCACATACCTGCATATATATATAAGTATATAAGTATAGTAGATATCTTCGTTAGTATGAAGCCTTTTGAATAAAGTGAAAAGATAGAGAAGAGAAGAAAGAGAAAAGATAATAATGAGAGTGAACATGAAAAAAATAACTTAACATATGTCATCCGTACTAATCAATGACCAAATAAAAATCATGTAATAAATATTTTTTATGTTAATTATTTTTAAAAAAATCAACTACAGAAGCTGTAATTAATATTTTTCTAAAAGTAAAGTATTTAAAGGAGATTATTTGAGAAAGTATATACGCGGATGGAGTAAAGTCAAATTTGTTTTAAAAATTGAAAAAATAAAATAAAATAAAAGGAAATTCATTTAGAGCAGCGGCACTACAAGCGTGCGTAATTGCATTTGTATCTGTTTGACTCTGCTGTTGTTGTTGGCACCTTCACCACCACCACCACCACTTTTTTCTGTGTTTCTCTCTCCTTTCATCGTCAATTTCACAGCACAGTTAGAGAGAGACAGAGAGTAAGCAATTTCACACTCACACACCCGCTTCCCGTAATTCCCCATTCTCTCTCTTTTCCCCTCTTAACTTTCGAGGGTTTTCAGTTCCCAATTTCAATTTCATTGCCATCGCGAATCAAAAGGTTTCGGGATCGAAAAGGTAGAGTTTTTGTGCAATTCCGATTCGGCAAATGGCGTCTTCGAGTGTAGCAGGCGCTGGATCCACCGATTCCACAGCTGCAAGAAGAAACACCAAGCGACCCAAGTGTAATGCCCTCTGAATCTCTCTTGATTTTTTTTCCTTTTGAGCTCAATTTTCAGTGACCCTTTTTCCTTTTTTGTTGAAGTTTTCCGTTTATTATGGAAATTTCTTAATTTTTTTTATTTGGGGTTAAATTGAGAGTAGGTTTGGTCCTTTGAAAGGAAAGTGCTAATGGGTTTGTTGTGGTTCTTGTGAAGGGTGTGTATGTGTGGTGTGATGGTTTCACTGTGTAAGTATTTTGTCCATGATAATACCTAGATAAGGTATCTGTTGCTGAAATTCTATTTTATGAAAGATATAACACTTCATGAAAGCAAATATCCACTTGATTTTGTTTATTTATTTTGAATTTAAGAGTTGGTATTTGTGTTAAGAAAGCTTTTGGCGTGCATATTGGTTGTTTATTGACCTAATGGAAGAGTTCAATGGAGTTGGATAGTATGTGCTGATTTAACAACAATGCTTTTGTTTTGTGTGTTTTTATTGGTACCTCAAGAAAACTGAACTGAAAAGTGTTTTTTTTTATTTCTTTTTTAAATTTATTGCTTTTTAGATTCAAAGTTTACCCAGCAAGAGCTTCCAGCATGTAAGCCGATTCTCACGCCACGAGCGGTAACACTACCTATTACTTTTTTTAATGCGTGGCTAATGATTGTATATGTACCTATATGAATCGTTATTTATGTGGTGGTAATGGTATAACTTCTGCTTATTTTAAGTCCTTCACTGCAGGTTATTTCGGCATTCTTGCTTGTCAGTGTTGTATTTGTTCCTATTGGAGTTGCTTCACTAATTGCTTCAAGAAAGGTAATGTTGAGTGCTATATTGTGTTGTATTCATGCTTAAAATTATATATAATGATGAGTATGACTTTCATTTTCTTGTATCTATCAGGTAGTTGAAATTGTTTATAGGTATGAATCTAAGTGCATACCAAACAATGTTACTGACAAAATAGCATACATTCAGAGTTCAGCAGATAAAACATGCAACATAACTCTTAAAGTAAGTCTCCTTGACACCAGTTTATCTGTTTCATTTAAAGTTTAAACATCATCTTTCTGTTAACTCTGTTCCCATATTGACAATTAATTGAGGTTATATTGCAACAATCTATTCTTATCTTAAAATTTGCTCTTATAAAAAGGTGGAGAAGCATATGAAATCACCTATTTATGTCTACTATCAGCTTGACAACTTCTACCAGAATCATCGCCGGTATGTTAACCCATTTTTCTCTCATGCATCGCACATTCTTTTTATCTGTTTCAATGTCTCATTTACAAAGTGAGGGAAAAGTGTGATTTTAAGGAACAAGGATCTCCTGGTCCTTTCTTCAGTGGTTCTTACTTCTTGCCCAATGTTATGTTATCAATGGCAGATGGCGGGTCATGGCGGAAAACAGAAAAACTGCCATAAAATTATGGCGGATGCCATGGCGGGTTATGGCGGAATAATGGCGGTCATATATATTGCAAAATGTGATATAAAATTAGAAAACTAACTACATATAAAAAGAAGGTTTTGAGAAAAAAAGAATAAAATGGTTGTACAATAGTGAAAAAAAAACTGAAGTTATAAAAGGAAAGTAGAGAATTAAAATAAATATGGAGAAAGAAACTTGGAAGTGAAAACAGAAAAATAGAATCAAGAAAACAAAATAATAAGGAAAAACGAAAAAAATGGGAGAGTAAAACAGAATGGGAGAAGGAAAAACAGAACTGAAAAAAAAAAAAAAATAGGAGAGGGAAAAACTAAGAAAGAGGGAATAATAAGCTGAAGTTATAACAGAAAAGTAGAGAATTAAAATAAATATGGAGAAGGAAACTTGGAAGTGAAAACAGAAAAATAGAATCAAGAAAACAAAATAATAAGGAAAAACAAAAAAAATGGGAGAGTAAAACAGAGTGGGAGAGGGAAAAACAGAACTGAAAAAAAAAACAGGAGAGGAAAAAACTAAGAAAGAGGGGCAGAGTCCAGAGACACAAAATAGAAAATGGACTTCGGAAAATAGGGCCTTCCATTCACAGTTGCCGGAAAACAGCCGGAAAGGATGTCTTCTCCGGCGAAAATGGTGAAGGAGAAAATGGCTTTAGAGAAGAAGGAAGAAAAACAGTGTAGAGAACCCTAAATATTTTACCCTTCAGAAAATTGACCGCTTGAGAAGAGAAGGTAAACCCTAAAAATTTTAAGTGGAAAGAGTCTATTTTGCCCTTAAAAAACCCTAAAATACATAAAAACAAGGACAAGATTGGAATTTCGCTATCTATTTTGCCCTTAAAAAACCCTAAAATACATAAAACAAGGGCAAGATTGGAATTTCGCTCTCTTTCTCTATTACACTTCAACACGCACACCAAGACACTACAACTAGGGCTTAACCCCTGCGAAGAAATACTTCACAGCAGCAGCAGGTGGCGGACCGCCACTCCATTGCGGCACAACAGCAATGAAGAAAGGAAGAAAATATGTGATTTAGGGTTTGGGCTCACGGATTATCTTTTTGGAGCAGGTCCAATCAATGGCCCAACTCAATTTTTCCCACAAAAACGCCGTTTTTTTACATTTTCCGCCATGGCTGCCGTTACCGCCATGCGCGTAACGGCCGCCATGGCGCCGCCATTGAAAAAGGCCAGAAAACGGTAACGCTGTAACGGCGGGGTCAAAAACCGCCACCGAATTCCACCATGGCGCCGCCATGGCTGCCATTTAACAACACTGTTCTTGCCAATTATTGGAGGGGGTGGGTGGGTGGGTGGGGGGGGGGGACTGCTAAGAAACTGCCACTTTTACTCCCTGTCTTGTTTTGAAAGCTTCTGTCAAGCTTATTCTCTTAACTCAGTCTAGTGAAATTTTGAATGGCCAATACAAAACTAATTTTCCATTTTTACACTATATCATAGTAGGTAAATCCTGGATAAGCAGCGCAGAGCAGCCAAACCCAAAAATGCAGTTATGGTATAGCAGATTACAGAGCAACCCTTGCACAAAATTGCAAATATAGTGCATGTGATTTTAATAGACACATTTAAATGCTCAAAACTCAAAGCTTAGACATTTTTCATTAGTAATATTTATTGAATTTAAGTTTCATTTAAATTGTAGTCTATTGTGTTAGGAAACAAATATGGATATTACAGGTTATATGATTTTATTTAAGGGAAAAGTAGCTGCAAGAGCTATTACAGTGAGGAAACATATCACCAGGGCAAGAGATCCTTCAAAGAATGCAGTTTCACTGCCCAGCCTAATTGTTACACAAAATGATTGACTCTACACCCTACAACAAGCATGCCAAATCCTTCCCTTTCCAGAACCAGAATTCACTACCCCTCCTTGACTAACTGCTAGTCATAAAACTAACTAGGCGGCCCACTTGTCTTCTTCCTTGTACACTTTCCACACCTTGGAGCTCGTGGGATGCAGGGCCAGCATTAGTTGACCATTATCCACTCTCAATTCATCTTCCGTTATAGGTCCTATTCCTCTTGCACTATCATGAATCTAATTTGTCTTAAAATCTTGAGTAGAACTAAAATTTTGAGTCATTTAGAAAGTTATTAATGATGTTTATAACTCAAGTCAATTTTTCTTTATGTAAAATAGGTAGATAGATTATATTAGAATCTATGCCTTTTTTACATGTGAAAGATTAAAACTATTTTCTAGATAGTAGATACTATAGCCTTAGCCTCTCTAGTTTTAGCACTTTATACCTGCTCCGTTAACTTTAGGAGTTATTGTGATGTTAGTAATATCTTAAGAGATAACAAAAAGCAATATTTTTAACGAACAAACAATATATAATGCAAACAATAAAGTAAATATATGTAAGAACAATGTCAATCTATAGAAGGCAATATAATGCATGTGGTTTTGGCTGCCAGGCAATAAAATAGAGCCTCTGATATAACATGCTACTTCACAAACTCAGAAAAAACCTCCACATCCATGGTTTGCAGTGCATACAAAACTGAAAAGGTGGAGCAAAAATGTGTAAAGTACTGCAACAGAGCCTTGGACAAAGCAGAGACCAGCAAACAGAAGCTGGTTCTGCCAGAAAAAGAATGGCTTTGGTTGGAGAACTCATGGAGATGGCTGGAAAATGTTCAAACAGGGGCTGGAACTGCTTGGCTTCCTGTAGATGTGCAAACAAGGAGGTGGGGCTTTTGGGTTTTCTTGAAGATTGAAGTGATTCTAAACCTATGTTAAGGCATCTGCCAATACAGATGATTAAATGGATGATGAACCTCTGCTAATTTGGTAAAGAAGAACATGTTGCCTGGAGCACTGTACCCAAGGTGGTGTGCAGAAGCACTAGGTCCCATAGACCTAACCTAACTGCCACTGGAGAGTTTTGGAATTAGAGGAGGGATAAGAATGTAAATGTGAAGAACCTAAGTTGAATCTGAATCATCTTCCTCCTTTCTCTTCATCTGGAATCTGTCTTATTGCACTCTTTGGGCTCTTCCCTCTGTTCACTTTCCTGATACTTCTTGGCACTTCTAAGTTGGTTGCTTATGATGGGATTTATATGTTCTTACATAAACTAATTTCATAATAAGATCAGTGTGCATCATCTAGTTACATTTATTTCTGTGATCGCTGTTAACAGTTGCTGTTTTTATAAGCATCCTTGCACCATAAGATTCTTCTGATGCAAAGGGTGTAGAATAACCTAGATCGCCCTAAAAATTGGGTAAGCAAACCCCTTAGGAGGGTACTACTGCTCAGTTGTAGTCTGCATGAAAAACACTATGCAGTGGAAATTTTCTAGCAGCCAGAGGCTGCTATACCATGCAATGCCTCTATAGTGGGACAATTTACTTCTGTTAATTACTCTGCTCTATAATTTGTCAAAGGTGTGACAAGTCTGGGGAAAATTTACTTGTAAACAATTACTTTTTATTTCTATATATTTTTTGTTCAAGCATTGTACATCAAAGTTGATGGTTGTGCTCCCCAACCTGTGCCATTTGTCTTAATTATTTTAACAATTAAACTTTGCCTTGCTTTAAATCATTGAACAGTTCTTTGAAACCATTATACATTGCTTAGTGATGGCGTTGGCATGAAAACTTGTTTCTGACTTTTTACTATGCAACAATTCACCTTGACAAATTGGATAGATGGCATTTTATTCCTGTAAAGTTGTCTTATGTCAGACTTCTACTTTATGTTAATAGAATGAAAGTTTCAGTAGTCAGAACATATTAAGTCAGAGCTATGTATCTGTTAGCCCTTGGTTTAAAGATATACAAAATTATATATACAGAATGGACTTATAATTACACAAAGCAGAAAAACAAATGATTTGCCAACTGGCATGAAGTTTATTTGCAAGCAATCATCTAAAGTCTAAACTTGCAAAAATCGTTTTTTAGGTAACAAATTACAAATATATTATTATACATATTTAGAGTTGTATCAATGATTCTGTTATCTAACATCTAGATCTTTGGGGAAGTGTTGGAGATAACATATTACTATTTGTATGGGATGTAATGTAATTTATGTTCATTGTAGTTTTGTGACTTCAATGTCTTTGACTATTTGGTTCCTTCAACTATTTTCAGTCTTGATATATTTATAATTATAGATTTCATTATGTATGATTATTTATATTCTTATAATTATGGTAATATTCTATATCTATAATGTAGGTATGTTAAGAGCCGAAGTGACGAGCAATTAAGGGATCCCAATGATGAGAATTCAACAAGTGCTTGTAAGCCTGAAGACACTGCCAATGGAAAGGCAATTGTACCTTGTGGTCTTATAGCTTGGAGTTTGTTCAATGACACATACAGCTTCTCTCGTGACAACAAGAATTTGACAGTGAATAAGAAAGGCATCTCCTGGAAGAGTGACAGAGAGCACAAATTTGGAAAAGATGTTTTCCCTAAAAACTTCCAGAGTAGTTCTGTTAGAGGTGGTGCAAATCTCTCTGAATCTGTACCAGTAAGTAGTAACATGAACTCGTTTTGATTGAAATAAACTTCTTTCTTCATGCATAGTTATCTTCACAAGGTTCAGCAATGTAATTAGAGGTTGTTTTGGTTAGTGGAGTCATAATTTAGCCTTATTTACACCAGCATGTTTTCTGTGTTAAGCTTGCATCTTTTGATTTATTATATGTTGCTTTGCTGCTATACTGCAATTGTTATTTATTTTGTTGTTACTATTTTTATTGGTATTCATATTGTACATATAGTAATAGTTGTTCACATGGCAAATTATTCCACTGATCCACATAACTCCTCCATTTCAAATTTTCAATTGCTTCCAGTATTTCCTTTCTGACCTTGTGATTAGTGTGGGTATTCTCAATCAATAGCTTGCGTCAATGGGATATATTGCTCACTTTTTGAATGTAAAATGGAACAGTTGAGTGAGCAGGAGGATCTTATTGTTTGGATGCGAACAGCTGCTTTGCCAACTTTTAGGAAGTTGTACGGAAAGATAGAGATGGATCTTAATGAAGATGATACAATAAGCGTAACTCTGAAAAATAACTACAACACATACAGTTTTAATGGCAAGAAAAAGCTCGTACTGTCAACTACTAGCTGGCTTGGTGGGAAGAATGACTTCCTTGGCATTGCCTATCTTACTGTTGGAGGATTGTGCTTCTTTTTAGCTTTGGCTTTTACCATTGTATATTTTGTCAAGCCAAGGTAAATACTAAATACATAAGTTTCCTCTATTGCTTTAGAGTTTAGACCATGAAAGTTCCTCTCCAAGTGGGAAAATTCATGTGGTTGTTTGCATGGGCTTACTTATTTTGTTGCTTAGTGTCTTATTTGTTTGGCCAAAAATGGTGTTGGATGCATTTATTTGTAGCATACATTAGCACATGGGAAACTTAAATTCTTGGTGCTGTGTACTTACCAACAAACTTGGTACAGAACATGACTAATAACTTCTTACCAACAAAATTGGCACAGAACATGCCATTGGTTCGACAGACTATATGGAGTATTAGGTTCGAGCATTTAATTTCAACCTCTTCTTGCTCTATAACTCTTCAAATCAGGATTGATTACATTAGTCAATTTGATTAGAACCTAAAATATTTGGGTAACTTCCATGTCCGGTATGTTGCAAATTCATTGTGCATTTATGAAATCTTTTTTGCTATGAGGGTTTCCTTTAACATATGCAGAAGCTTTTATTATAACTTGCATAGGAATTAGGAAGAGGTTGGTTTAAATGTGATGACAATATTTTATTACACATGATGCATATATTGGTGCTTCTATTTCACAGTGTCCATTGTACAACTTAAAATTCATATCTGTTGGATTTTATAGGGGTAAGTCTTGGTGCAGTGGTAAGGTGGTCGTCATGTGACTTGGTGGTCATGTTATTATTTATTTATTTATTTTGGGGGGGGGGGTGTCCAAGAGCCAAGAGGTCATGAGGCTTTAATCATGCAAACAGTTTCTACTTGTAGGGGTTAAGGGTGTATACATCTACCATCTCTAAACCCCATGAGGTGGAAGCCTCATATTAGATTTTGGGTAGTTTATGGTCTAAAAGATGTCTAAAAAATTTATAATAATTGTTTTTCACAAAATGAAAAACCCTCAATAAAAGGCTGATTTTTTTTTTTTTAGAAGTAAAAAGTAGCAGCTTTTGAAAAAGAATTTCTGAAAAAGCTGTCATAGAAATAAATAACTTGTAAATCTTAGACAAATGGGCTCTTATATTAGATGATAAAATTTCACTTATAAATGAACATCGCTTAAATTTTCAATTATTACTGTTAGTTCATAACCTATCTTCCTATCTGTCTTTGTAGGCAACTTGGAGATCCCTCATATTTGTCATGGAATAGGAATCCGGGAGGGCACTGAGCAAAGAAACTAAATATGCTTGTTTGTTATTTTCATGAATACAAGGCTTTGGTATTCTAAATTAGCGGGTGTAGTTTTTGTACATCTATGTTACCTTATTGCTAGCAGCACTTGTGAATTTAGTTGTTCTTAACTTCATATCCCCCACCTCTTCCCCACATAAGAACCAAAACACATTTTTTCTTCTTTTTGTACTGTGCATGAAAATTGAAATATGATGTATGCTCTGATATATAGATATATATATATAGCTTCCAATATATCTGCTAGTTGCATTTCATACAACCTGGGAAAAATAGTGGTTCTTGTTTGGTTTACCTTTCTTTGTCTTTTACTAAGCTTTACGTAGGTCAGGAGTCTTGTGGAGAGAGGTAGATTTGTCAAAATGGGTACCGTATTCAGTCAAGGTTACGAACAAGTTAACCCATAAACTATTTGGATTTTTTCTGGCCCAAGGCCCTTAACCGACCGCTTCGACGGGTCAACCTGTTGTGAATCTCTCCTTTAATAGTTGGTTAGAGGGATAAGATCACATTCAAATCCTACCACATACAAAAGATAACACTTCTGTGCCCCCTCTCTCATGTCAACAATTTAAATTATTAATATAAAGTAAATATAAAAATAATATAAAAAATTAATGATTTGAATATTAGACACTTAGAAGATATTAGCTATTAAATAATAATGAATAAATTTTATGATGGTTTTTTTTTCTGGATATATATATATATATATAAATATAAATATAAATTTTTTTTTTAAAAAAATTCATTTTAAATTTGGTGAGTTTATTCATGAGCCAATATGTCTGGATAGTGAGTTGCATAGTTTTAGCATTTTTTTTGGACTCATTGCAAAAGTGAACTGCGTTGGTTTGACTCACTGTTGAGTCTAATTCTAACCCAAGCAAAGGTGAATGGGTTCATTTTAACAGCTTTAGAGTAAGGTGAAGTTTCCCATGAGAATTAGCAAGACCTTCTTTATTCTTGACAAGTATCTTAGGTTTTGTTAATGTTATTGTTTCTCAATCGATGAGATTAGCTTTGGTACTAAATATGATGCATGTTGGATGGCAATGAAAAATTTCTCCAAAGATCGAATGGAATTTCAACAGAATACAAGTAGAGCTTTATATGCTTGGTGGTTCATCTCTACATCGGTGCCTCAGTCACTGCTTATGTGGTTACCTTTCCTTTCTTTTCATTCTTATACTTTGGTGAAAGTGTGCCTATTATCTTAGTGTGGTTATTAATGTTGTAACTGTTCTGGCATATGTAGGTTTGTAGGTGTACATGAGGATGTGGATCTTCTTAGAATGTGTGTTTATAACATTTAATTGAGTTTAATGTGATTTTGTAGAATTAGTTTTAGTGAAAGTAAGTTTACATTAATTTGGTTTTTGTTTGGATAACATATATTAAAAAAGTGATTTTGACTAAGAATGTTACTTAAATATTTTTGGTCAAAATTGTTTTTAGTGTGTGTAAATTATCAAAATGGGTTATTAATGTTTATTTATAATTATTTTGATACATACATTAATAAATGAAAATAAATAGGTTTGCACAACACTGGTTTTATTTATTTTTTAATATATATTGTATTATTATCGATTCAACTTTAATTCAAAACGGTTAAATAATTAAGTAAAATTTGAGCTAGTATCTTCAATGATCAGTAAAAATATGCAAGTAACTATCTAATGCTTTCAATTTTAAAAATCAAAGGAAAAAAAGTTATCTCTTCCAATGTGACATGTCTCAAATTTCAGTAAAGACCAGCTGTAGGACTTAAGTAAAAAATTATAATATATATGAGTCAGATAAATTACGAAATGAAAAGGTTAAAATTGTATAATGATTAAAAACAAAAGATATAGTTATATAATATATTAAAAAATATTTCTTTATTTTTAGTATCCATTTATAGCTCTAAATTTAAATTATTATATAATTATACAATTTAAAATTACATTACATACTCACTTTCATATTATTTTTCAATAATTTTAAATATGTTTTAAACTTGTGTCTCACATAAACACTACATTAATTATGTTCTAAATCACCAAATTGATACTAAATAATCAAAATTTATTTATCCAATTCAATTTGATCTCAATACATAAATCAAGACTAAACTAAATAAATTAATTCAGTTTAATGTTTAAAATTCTTTGAGTTGATGCAAACTAATGGATAATTTTGCTTCCTATACTTATTTCAACAATATATATATATATAAACATGAATTAAAGAACAAAATTCTATAACCTATGTTTTGAAAACTGGTGGCTTAAGAACCGCCAACCTTAACCCGAACGGTTTTATTGTTAGAACAAATTAAATTTGAGATATGATAGCCAAACCAATATATTTTATTGTATAAAAAGATAATATTTAATATATGTTATATTATTTTGTTTAAATATAATAAAAATAAAGTTATATAATAAATATATTTATAAAAATAAAATATAATTTTTTAATATATATAAAAGTAAATAATTTTAATTAAAAATATTAATTTTTAATTAAATATTATATCTATATTTAATTATCACTAATTCAACCATGATTTAACCACAGTTAAATTATTTTCACGGTTCAGTAACCAGTCCTATTTTAAAAACATTGCTTATAACTAATTTAAAATAATATGAATTCTTTTTAATATTTTTTTATTCCTTTAAGTAATTTTTAAAAAAAATATAAGATAATATTTGTGTTTTTTAATTTTTTTAATACAAATTGAAACAAGTTTTTAATATGTATTAAAAACACATTGTAAAAATTATTTATAATAATTTTGAAAAATATCAAATATTATATAATAAAATTTATTAATAATATTAAATATAATAAATTTTAATATTTTTTATTTATTAAATTCATATATTATATATTTTTAGAAAAAATTTAAAAATTAAACATAAAATTTAAAAATATTAAAATATTGATTATTCTATTTATCAGCCCTAATACAAGTTAAAATGTAAAGATACAAAATAAATATTCTTCCAACTGGCAATCGCGTCATGTGTGTCGCATAGTACACCTCAGCCTTTGTTGTCTTGGTTGGTGCCAATCACTCCCCTATTCTATGCTAACAAAAATAAAAATTAGTATTCCTCCTCTTTTTTAATGTAATATTTTTAATTAAATTATATAAACTAAAAACATAATTAAAAGGAAATTTTTTTAATCTTTAAATGAGTATTTTAATATGTTAATTTTATTTTATTTAATATTATCAAATTTAATTATATTATGAATATTCTAATTTCAAAAAAATTACCTTTTTAAGATCTCAAATTTATGATTTTTATAAATAAGAAAAAATTAACATTGTATAAAAATATAAATTTAAAACAAATTTAAACAGTGTCTTATAAAATTATTTATAGTAGACATGCACCTGACTACCTGAGTCTGTTGCACACTTGTACAATTGCACTTGAATCGCTGTCTGAAACACAGCAACGCCCGTACCTACTACTCACTGTGATCCCACACACTCATGTCTCTCTCACGCTTCATCACTCCTCTCTGCTGCACTTCTGCAACTTCAGGTACCTTTCTGTGCTTGCAAATTGGGTTCTATGTTTGTTCCATAAGGGCTATGCTATGCAATTTTTAGATGGAGTTCTTTTTCTTTTTTAATTTTCATTGCATGAGTTTGGTGAAGTTGCTACATTGAACAAGTATTTGCAGTCACAAACTTTATTAAATATAATTTTGGGTCTGTCGATTGTTAGCTCTAGTTTGCGCTGTTTATTACTTGAATGGTTGATTCTGTTTATGTTTCTCAAATTAAGGGGGTAAATGGTTATGTTATATTAAAAAAGTGAGTTGCATGTGCTAAAGTTCATTTTTTATATTATCTAAGTGATGGGCTATGGCTTGAGCTAGAAGATTATTCTTGGTTAATCTATGTTTTTCGATGTACACATTAAATGAAAGGTTGAAACTTTGAAGTGCATTGAGCATCACATCTTTCAGAATAGTTGATCCCCATGTAATTGGGATTTAGGATATGACAAAACCTAAAGGGTTTTGCTTTGCATGTTTTCATACTGCTTATAACAAAGTATCAATTTACTGCTAGGAAATAATAAATCTAAATTAAGTAATTTTATTTCAGTGTTGGATTATCTATCTTTCTATGTGCTTATATAACATTGCACATCTCCTTATAAGCCTTCTTGGAAGGATTGATATGATTTCATTTTTGACAGATTCTTTGGTGACTGCATCAAATGTAAAGAAGGAAATGAACAGTACAGCCTTGGTATGACATGCTCATTTTGAAAATTTATATATATCTAAAACACGTATCAGATGAGAAAAGAGAGCATGAGATTAGTACATCTCAATTATAAAATTAAAATGGATGGTTTAAAATTAAATTTATCTAAAATAATCTTGACCATTCACGTGTGGTTGTATGACTGAGATTATCACACCTCACCTCTTGCGCTCTCAGTAGATGATGCGTGCACACAGATACACGTACACACACATATTTTTTCTAGGAACTAAAGAGAGACGAAAATGTATGTTTTAGTGCTTGCAGAGCCTTGAAGACTCTAAAGAAAGAATCAGGAAAATGTTCAACAAGGTTGAACTTTCTGTTTCTTCCTATGACACAGCTTGGTTGGCAATGGTTTCCTCGCCAACTTCTCCTCATACCCCATTTTTCCCTCAATGCTTGAATTGGTTGTTGGACAATCAACTCTTTGATGGCTCGTGGGCTCTTCCTGGTCACCATCCATTATTGATGAATGATGCTCTCTTATCCACCTTATCATGTATCCTTGCATTAAAGCAATGGGGTGTTGGTGAAGATCAAATTAACAGGGGTATTTTACTCTCCTTGCTATTACAGTATTGCTTTCTCTGGTGCATATAAATGAATTTCCTGATATTTCTGTAGGTCTTCAGTTTATTGAGTCAAACATTACTTCAATCAATGATGAAAAGCAACACCCTCCAATAGGATTTGATATACTTTTTCCTTCTTTGATTGAATATGCACAAAATTTGGGCATTAACCCTCCAATTGGCGCCACTACCTTGGAAGCAATGTTCCAAAAGAGAGAGAGAGAATTTCAAAGGTAGTATTTTGATTTTCTATTGTATATATTTCATGATTTTTCTTGTCTTCGAGATATTTACAGTTTTAAAGATTCTTTAATTAAGTTCTAGTTGCTATGAATTTAAAAGTAGTGATCTTATTTTCCACGTTTTGTAAATTCCCAAAGCTGACTCCTTTCTTGTGCATTTTGCCTTACCTTAGAGGCAGTCAAAGCAATTCAGAAGGGTGGAGAGCATATCTAGCATATATTTCAGAAGGAATGCGGAAATCAAAGGACTGGCAAACAATCTTGAAGTATCAAAGAAAGAATGGATCTTTGTTTAATTCACCTGCTACAACAGCAGCTGTTTTTCAGCACCTTAAGAACGCTGACTGTCTTAATTACCTCCAATCTGTATTAGAGAAGTTTGGGAGTGCAGGTATGGTTTCAGACCTATTGTTTCTCTAAATTTAATTTTAGTTACTGTTTTTTGGTAGATTAATTGGTCTTTCTTTTTTTATTTTTGAAAAAAATCAGTTCCAACAGTTTACCCTCTTGATATATATGCCCGTCTCTATATGATTGATAGTCTTGAAAGGTTGGGTATCAATCATCACTTCAAAGAGGAAATTCAAAGTGTATTGGATGAAACGTACAGGTATTAATCCATTTGAAGTTGGATTCACTTGTTACTGTAAATTATAATATGTCAGTAACTGCAGTAGTAGGAAAGCAATTATAAATGTATGTGAATGAAAATATGAAGATACCATTCTATAAAACACTCAAACCTTTGTCCAAGCATAGAAACTTTTCATTTTTCATCCAATGATTCTGAGTATTTAATTTATGGAAAAAAAAAAAAACAGATATTGGCTACAAGGAGAGGAAGACATATTCTTAGACCCCACCATTTGTGCAATGGCATTTCGTATGTTGCGCCTCAATGGTTATGATGTATCTTCAGGTTGGATGATTTGCAACATTTAAGTAGTTTAGAGTTTTTGTTTTTCAGATTAAGACCAAAGAAGCTAATATGTACATTTTGTCTCTGCAGATCCATTTTATCAATATTCCGAAGATAAATTTGCAAATTCCTTGAAAGGGTACTTGAAGGATGTTGGTGCAGTTTTAGAGCTATATAAGGCTTCACAAGTCATGGTACATCCAAATGAATCAGTTTTGGTGAGACAAAGTTTGTGGACGAGACATCTTCTGAAGCAGGATTCATCCCCTTTCCGATTATATGCTGATAAACTTCAAAGTTATGTTGACCAAGAGGTAGTTTCTTGCCTTAATCTTTCAAAATATATACTTGTACAATTTTATAATCATTCCTGATGGCTGCAATGTTTTTGTATTTAGGTCAATGATGTTCTTAATTTTCCTTATCATGCAAATTTGGAGCGTTTATTAAACAGGAGATCAATCGAGCATTACAATGTAGAGGAAGCAAGGAGTTTAAAAACATCATATAGGTTAGCCTCTGGTAGTTGTTTCCAGTGTCTCAAATTCCTCTTTCTTTGAGATCAAATTCTTGATTGTTAGTATGGTCCAGATCTTGCAATCTTGCAAACCGAGAAATTCTAAAGCTAGCAGTGGAAGACTTCAATATCTGCCAATCAATACACAGTGAAGAATTGAAACAACTGTCCAGGTATTTCTTCTATGTTTCTCTTTTCAAATTTTCAAAGATATTGAAAGATCATTATCATAGCTGAAGTTTTGGCAATGATTACCAAACGTTAGTTTTACCTTTTAAGTGTATCTTCTCATGCTTTTTCTTCTGCCCTGAAGTTATTGTTGACGAGCCTGGGTTCTTTTATTCATGCTATGACTTGATTTTGGTTTTGTAGGAACATTATTCAAATAAGTGTCATGAATTAAGTATCCTGCTCATATTTTTACTAAGGAACATACATTTTGTTAGACTTGAATGCTCAAACTGGGAACAATTTTTTGAAAGAATTCAGAAATTAAACCAGAATTTGTTGGAAAGAATGCCTAAGCCCTAACATGTAGTTTCCTCCTTCAAACAAACTTCAGCAAATTAATACACAATGAATAAGAAAACTGTCATACGACTCATACCTGCTTAAGAAACACACACCTAATGGTTGTAAAATATCACATAACTGTTCCATCAGGTTTCCTCTAGTATGATCTAACTATACTACATTATCATATGCAGGTGGGTTGTTGAGAACAGACTAGACAAACTAAATTTTGCAAGGCAGAAACTGGCCTACTGTTACTTCTCCAGTGCAGCTACTCTTTTCCCCCCTGAACTTTCTGATGCTCGCATATCATGGGCTAAAAATGGGGTGCTCACAACAGTTGTTGATGATTTCTTTGATGTTGGAGGTTCTGAAAAGGAGCAAGTAGACCTTATTCAACTGGTTGAGGAGTATATTCCTACTCTTAATTGAAACTAGCAATCTCTTTGATTTCTATTTGAATTCTATCACAATGTTCCTGCACAAACAGTGATCTATGGAAATTGAACTGCAGGTGGGATGTAGATATCAATACTGTTAACTGTTCTGAGACAGTTAAGATAATATTTTCTGCAATTCACAGCACAGTTTGTGAGATTGGAGAGAGATCAGTCAAGCGACAAGGACATAATGTGAAAAACAATGTTATCAAGATTGTGAGATGTTTCTTCATGTTTCTGCTTACATTTTCTGCTAATATTATTTGATTTTCCTGTTCAGTTAAATGTTAACAGTGGTCTGTAGGAGAACATGAAAACCCTGAAACCTTTTTGCCCCTCCCTCGAATTATAAAAGAATTCTAATGCTAAATAATGTAGCTGCAAACCTTGACAATAATGACATGTTCTGCATATTAGTGAAACATTAGTTTGACACTTTTTAAATTTACTTCAATGACATGAAAATTTACATTGTATCATAAAGTCCTCATGCAGTTCTCTCAGTTAAGATAATTTTTCTTAACCAATGAGACTTTCTTTTGCTTTACAGTGGTTAAATTTGATCCAGTCTATGTTTAGAGAAGCTGAGTGGTTGAGAACCAAGACTGTGCCAACAATCGACGATTATATGGACAATGCTTACATCTCATTTGCATTAGGTCCAATTGTCCTTCCAGCCCTCTATCTTGTTGGACCTAGGCTTTCCGATGAAGTTGCTGAAAAGCATGAGTTGAATTGTCTGTATAAGCTCATGAGCACTTGCGGGCGTCTTCTTAATGACATTCACAGTTTTAAGGTACATAGTCCATTCCTACTCCGTGATTCCATTGCTGACTTTAAGGTGATTAATGTTTTTGTTATGGTGTAGAGAGAATCCGAGGAAGGGAAATTGAATGCGGTGACTTTGCGTATAGCTCGTGGCGGTGGAGTTGCAAGTGCAGAAGGTGCCATTGAAGAGATGAAAGTTATTGCTGAGGAAAAGAGAAGAGAACTCCTGAGATTAATTTTGCAGGAAAAAGGAAGCTTAGTTCCAAGAGATTGCAAGGATTTGTTTTGGAAAATGATAAAAGTGTTGCACCTATTTTACATGAAGGATGATGGATTTACTTCACATGACATGTACTCTAGTGTGAATGCAGTAATTAAAGATCCTGTGGTCCTTAATGAATTGTAGGTACATGATTAGCAAAGCCATAGTTCTCTGTCAAAGCCACTGGTGTGATGCCTTAGTTCAATAGGACATAGACATGACAAGCCATAACTGCAATTACTTTTGGGTGATCATTGTGTATGAATAGAAATGGCCAAATCTTTCCTAGCACTTGATAATTTTTTTTGCTTTGGTTCTCTTTTCCCCTTTTAATCTTTTGTATATTTCGTGATGCTTATTTTCTCCGTCTTGGCCATCTCATGAATTTGGTGTTGTGCGATCAGCTAGTCAAAGATTGGTGCTAACATGAATTTCATAAGATAAATTAACAAGCTTTAGCTAATCCTAAATCTTGAGTATGCAGTCTAACAAACAGCAATACTAAGGTTTTTGGAAATGCTAAATAACTAATCATGAGTGGATCGAGAAAAATGGTAGAAAAGTGAGTCGAGACACATTATTTTGTTTTTCTTCTTTCTATAATAAATTCACCTGGTAGATATAGTGCAAAAAATAAAATAAAAATGGAGACTCTCTTCATTTATGTATGATCGCTTTCAGACTGTGTCGCGACAATATGTTTGTCATTTAATATATATATATACAGCAGAACTGCGTCTACTTGATATATACGATGTTTCAACATAGTAGCAGTTCTGAGCTTCCTCCTTTTATAAGCTTTTATAAAGCAAAAAAGCTGAGATGCAACATTTTCTAACGTGTCACTGTAGATACAGAATAAAAAATTAATTTGATAAAAACTATTATCAATACATTATAGATCATGTGATTTTTGATAAAAACTTATTATGCCTTTTATTGTGTGTTCAAATTCATTTGCCACTATGAAATTATAGTAATGTTAGAGCTCTTTCAAATTACTTGTAAGTTGAGTTTTATCAATAAAGAGAAACATAGATGCTAGATCTCGATCCAGCCATGTCGGTATCTAACCTGCGTTGTTTCTGTTCAGCAGGTATCTATCAATCAATGTCCAATTTCCTTCCATGTGCTAAATAAATAAAACTTATAGCGCACGAAATTATAAATTTTTTTTACCAGAAATTCCTAGTGAGATTATCCTTTTTGCAATAGCCTTTCGTTTATTTAGCTCTTGTTAAAAGCATCAATTGTAGTACATCATACAAAGTTAAAACAGTACATAGAGAATAAACTTAGTGCCAATGCATAGAACAGACAGTACTCAGTGAACTGAAGGGAAATTAGGAAATTGAAAGGTCACTGCCCTGGTCAAACTCAAACAGACATTCCATGATTTAAAAAATTCCAAAAGCCGTTACCAGTAGAGGAGATCTTGGGAATTACTCACCTATATCACTCATATTTCGTTAGTTCGAATGTAAGCTGTCAAGATCCTCAGGTTCCATATCACCATGCTGAATGTGAACATGAGTTACTTCATTTAAAAGATTAAAAAAGCTAGCTAAATCCAATTCAAAAGATGAAGTTCATTTCCTTGGTGGATGCTTCTCCTTATGGTCCTAGTATTAAGGTTCACTGGTTCAAATATTGAATGCATCAGTGGCTGGTAACCGCAACAAAATTCAACTGATACAAGAGCAGGTCTCGAAAACACTAATTTGCTTGTAGAAAATCAAGTTAATGAATGCGTTTGCAAATTAATACTGTAAGTAGGAATACTACTCTTATTCTATTATGAGGTAAATGAGGAATAACAATAGCAAAATTTGCAGTACCTCGGCCAAAAATATGAAATTTTCTAAAGTTCAGACAGTTAAACTTGGGAAAAAATTGAATATTGGAAGAAACAACATGAGTCACTTCATTCCATAACAACTTTTGCACCAAGAGCTTTCAATTTCTCTATTATTTGTTCTCCTTCTTCCTTTGAAACTCCTTTCTTTATAATAGAAGGTGTTTTTTCCACTAAATCCTTTGCCTCCTTCAAACCTAAATCAGTAAAACCTCTAACCTCCTTGATGATTTTAATTTTGGAAGCCGCTTCATACGACTCCAGTTTCAATTCAAATACAGTTTTTTCTGGCTTTTGCTCCTCCTTGGCTGCTGTTGGTGCTTTTGCTGCCATTCCAGCCAAATTTGCAGTTCCTGCTTTCATAAAACCCACATTAGGCATCTCCTTCACCCCCATTTTCTTCATCAGAAGGAGACCCAATTCTGCAGCTTCAGCTACAGAAAGAGATGCCATTTCATCAACAAGCCTGAAAACTCTCTCTGATGGGGGGCCTCGGTGGTCATTGGGATCAAATGTTGCAGGATCAAAATCAGCTGGGAGACTTCTTTGGTCAATTTCCACTTCCTCTACATCCTCTTCCTCTTCTTTCCTTGCAGGTTGACCAAAATTTCTTGAAAATACATTTAAATTACTAGCATTAAGCCGTACTACCGTCGGATGAAGAGGTTGTCTACATAAACCATTGGGTAAATAATGCCTTATTCTGAAAAGCAAGCTCATTCTTGACTTTTAGGGTAGCTATCTCTCAGAACAGAAAATCAGCCCAGCATGACACACATTGTGAACTCCTATTGCAGCAAATAAATATCCTGACAGCAGAACAAAACAAAAAATTTTGTTTAAGGATTATCATTCAAAGCTTAATGAAATATTGTACATCTTATATTGGATCAAACTTTCAACTAGCATCACCAGATAACCAGCAAAATCAAATCCTAGAATCACAGAAAAATAGCCGCGCAAGACTCCTCAAAATTTGCATATTGTTTAGAGTACATCACAATCTTGAGAAACGATGGACCCCCATACTGTGCATATTCTAATGTCACAGATGATTTCAGAGAAATGAACAGTTCTTGAAGCATTTAGAAACCACTCAAAGTCAGCAGCTTAACAAAATGGAAATATAAGAATGACAAGCATATAGGGAAAAAATGAACCACAAATCTCACAACTAACAAATTCCTAGCATAACTGCCAAACCTTATATCAGCCAAATCAAAGTCAAAACTTTCATCACACTCCCACAATCAAATCTTATGTACCTTACAACAATGAACATGCACTCCAAAATAAAATCCAATTCCAAAATGCTAAAACCCAAAACAAATATTAATATGCCATTATACAAAGACCTTCAAACATGCTGACAGACCAATATAAAATTATTAAAATCAGCATAGTAGTGGGGAAGAACAAAGAGCAATTTACAAATGCTAAAATTTTATCTTTTTTTTTTTTTTTTTTTTTACAAATTAAATTTGATCTTCTATCCAACAAAAAATTAAACTCAGTCACTAGGATGCAAACTTGGCAAGTAATATCTCACAGTTCATAATCAGTTCCACAACAAAGCGATTCATTTCTTCCAAAAATAAAAATAAAAATAATGAAATGTTTAGAATGACACCACAAGTGAGATAGTTTATGTTTATCACATGGGAATCAATGAGCGAAGGAGGAAAATTATTTTCCAAAACGCTGAATAATGAATATTAAATTTTAAGTGTTAATCTAAGAAGAAGAAATAGACAAGATTAAAATTAATGGTTCAACTAGTGGGAGATTGTATGTACTGAAAACCATTCAAACGAAGCCCATTACAATGACTTCGCAATTGAGTTTGGTACCGTTCCACAGAGAGAGAGAGTAAGAGAGAGAGAGAGATTACAGAGAGTAAGAGAGAGAGAGAGATTACAGAGAGTAAGAGAGAGAAGAGACGATAATCTTTCCTGACCTGTGACCTAGAGAGAGAAGGTTGGAGGGAGAAGAGGTAGTGCACACCCCACTAAAGGTTAGGGTTCAGAAGTGAAGATGAAACCAAGGTGTCGAATTAGAAATTCTTAAACTTTACTGGGTACATTTCTTCACTTTATTTTTAGAATTATGCATCACCAAAAACCAAAGTTATCCCTATGTGACTCTTCTTCTTTTTATTTTTTATTTTCTAAAAATAATTAAAATTAGTTAATGTATTAGTTTTTAAAACTCAACTATAATTTTTTAGGTATTTCTTTATTTCAAGTTGAATTTTATTATTGTGAGAGTATTGTGTTGCATAGTGAAAATTTAAACTCACATTAATTGATTCACACAACTAATACGGTATTCATAAATTTATCTAATTGAATGTAAATTATAAAGATTGAATTAGGAAAAAAAATTTAAATTAATTACAAAATTTTAAATTTTAAATTGTAAAAATTAAATTATTTTATTAGATTGGATTGAATTTCATATTCAATTTTAAAAAATACTCAATCTAAACACAATTTATGTGTATATATTTAGTTTTATTTATTAAATTCACTTTTTACATATATAATAATATTATCATAAAAACAGAAAATAGTTTTTTTTTCAAAATTTTACTTTCAAAGTTAAATTTTATTATTATTATTTTAGTAGAATTTAAAGTTGTTCTTTTTGTTTCAACTTTTATTATATAAATTTTATGTTTTATGTAAAAATTAAGTTCAAATATAAAGGTAAAAGATATAATAAAAAATTTATTTATCATATTTTGACTAAATTAAAAATATATAAAAAAATAGAATCATCTAATCCAATTAAAACTACTTTTAATTAAATTAAATTATATTTAAATCAATATAAATCAAATTACAATTTACTTTTATAATTAAATTTAATTTTTTTAATTAAAAATAGATCTAAACCAAACTACAAATTCTATAGTTATAATAAAAATGTGTCAACGAGTATAAAGAGACAAATATGAATATAAGTTTGAAAGTATATATTTTAAAAGAAAGAAAGAAAATGAACAAGAAACATTTGAAAAAAAAGAGAGATAAATTTTTAATGTATTTTTTTTGTAATTTATTTTTATTTTTTAAAATTTGAAAATAAATTGTGACAAAATAGTAGAAAACGTTGGACCTATACTTTTTTAAATTCATCATATTTCATTAGATTTTATTTTATTTTAATTATATTTTTTATTATTTTAAATTTTAAATAAATTCAAACAATATACATTACTTATAACAATAGAGAAAATAGAAAGAGTATATTGTATATGTATAGAAATAGATATAAAAAATATATATCAGTAAAGAAAGATAAACATCAATTTTTCTTTAGAGAACAGAAGAATTGATGTTTCAACTTTATATTAGACAAATACATTACATTAGATAAATAATAATTAGAATAAAGAAGAATGGGTGAAAGATAGAAATGTAATGTCTTAACTTTAATTTTTAAGTAATAAATTTGTATAATGAGAATAATAAAATTTTTATTTAAATAAAAAGATCTCATCATAGAGTTTCATAAAACAGTTTAAAAAGATAAAGGATTACAAATTTATATCAAAGACTGCTATAGGACTAATTCAATTACATCATAATTTTAAAAATACAAACTTAGTCTTATAGCAGTTCATCCTTCTTTCACTGAGTTTGGTGCTGATCGTCTCGGTTACCTGAAAATAAATGTAAAGGTGAGTACTCTACACTATCCAACACACATAAACATAGAGACTCACCACAAATACTACACATTTACTATCATATTTAAATCATGCATTCACAATATAAGCATCTCAATCTCAATCACAATCACCATTCATCATCTATTGAAATTTAAAACACAACCGGTGCATTCATTGCATCAACATTTCACACACGTTCGCTTATCACACTTAGCCACGCTAACTGTGGCACTGTGATCACAGTTTCACACCATGAATGGTCGCCGGTTACCCCTGCCTCACGGATACTGCATGGGCAGTCACAGGTCACTCAACAAAGGTAGTGGTCAGAGGTCTAGTCAGGAGGAGAGTGTGTAGCCTGTAGTGCACTCACGCTCACTGTTGGTGTCACCACCATTGTCTCTTCTCCAAGGTATTTCTACCATTTTTATCTTCTATACCTCCAGTGTATCGTTGAACCATTCACAGCACACGACATAATTATCCATAGTCATTAACATTACACGGCACAAGTGCCTGCATTCATTCATGGCATACAGCCTATTGGCCCACATTCATCTACCACACACGACACACATGTCCATTTCATACACACAACATTTCAACATGCCATCTATACTCAATTCCATCCATTTACATCATTCAAGAACATGCAAACACACCTAATATCACCCATATTAGGCTCAATAATTTCACTCATCACATTTTCAATCAAGGGTATGTCAACCCCACAATCAATTCACACATATCCTACTCCCTATCTCAGTCACTTCACAACATTCAATAGAATAAACGGTGAATTAAACACAATAGGACAGGATAGAATCCCCTCTTACCTCGAATTGAAGACCCACACACGAATTTAGCTCTAGGGAGTGTTCCTCATGCAAACTTAGTCCTAAATACATAGAGGAATCTCATAAGGATAAAAGAAAACCAAGAGAACAGAGAATGAGAGAGAGAGATCGAAACTCTAACCATTAAAACTCACCTCTAAGCATTCCCTACACAAATCCAACCTTCAATCTTACTCCCAAGCGGCTTGGAGGCAATTTAATTGGTGAAATAGGGTTTAGAAGTGAGAGAATTGAAGAAATCTCAAAGGGAAAGTGAGAAATAACCCTTCCCTAAATCCTAACCCCTTTAAATCCTCTTTTGATCGTGACACTCTCGCTGCAATGACACCCTCTCTCGCTACAGCAAAAATATCAGAAAAAACTACATTCTGGTTTCTGCAGAATCTCGCTACACTGAGACCCTTTCGCTACAACAAGATTGCACCTAGAAATGCACCCCAAACTGTTGCTTTGTCACTACAGCGATACAGTCTCGCTACAGCGACAGTTTCACGCCTTCCTCCCAGGGCTTTCTCGCTGTGCAGCGAGAACACCCTGCACCAGAACACTTAGCCAAATTCCAGTCTGATTCTAGCATACACATGTATTCTCATCACCCTATATATATATATATATATATATATACACACACACACACACACACACACATAATAATTAATAATAATACATGAAAGTCCACGTAAACACTTATATTAATAATTAAACTATATTACAAAATTTGGAGCGTTACAACTCTCTCCTCCTTTAAGGAATTTCGTGCCTAAAATTCAACCAAATGCATAGAAGTTATATAAACAATCCTGAATATAACTCTCTCATTCTACTCTCCATTTTCCAGGTGACATCTCCCTTATCACTAGAGCTCCATATCACCTTCACCAATGAGATCTTCTTACCCCTCAGCTGTTTAACACGGTGATCCACTATCCTCACTGGATACACGTCATATGACAACTTTTCTCTTTCTTGAACCAGGTCAAGATCAATCACATGGGAAGGATTCGACACATATTGCCTGAATTGTGACACATGGAACACTGGATGTAGATTCGAGAGGTTTGGAGCAATGTTATCCAGTATGCTGCAGGGCCAACTCTACTCAGCACTTCAAATGACCCAATGAACTTAGGAGATAGTTTCTGAGATTTCAGAGTTCTCCCAACTCCAGTCATAGGTGAGACCTTTAAAAACACATGGCCACCCACTTGGAATTCCAAAGGCTTTCTTCTTTTATCATAGTAACTCTTTTGTTTATCCTGTGCGGCCTTCATCTTCTCCACCAATGGCAGGCACTCCTTCCAAGTCCCGTGCTGCTCAAGCACACAAGCTCTCAATAAGTCCTCCAGGGACTGGATGGTTCTCTCTGTCTGGCAGTCGGTTTGGGATGATACGCCGAATTAAGCTTCAACTTCATGCCCAACGCCCTCTGTAGGTTTTTCCAGAACCTTGAAATAAATCTTGGGTCCCTATCAAACACCACACTAGTCGGCACCCCATGCAGCTTGACTATCTCCCTTACATATAATTTTGCAAGTCTCTTCAACTTATACTTCATATTAATCGGGAGAAAGTGTGCAGCTTTAGTCAATCGGTCCACAATCACCAAATAACATCATGATTATTTTTGGTCCTTGGCAAATCGGAGACAAAGTCCATAGAAATATTGTTTCATTTCCACTCAGGGATCTCTAATGGTTGCAACAACCCAGGTGGACGCTGGTGCTCTACCTTTGCCTTCTAGCAAGTTAGGCATTTAGCCACATATTCAGCACATCTCTCTTCATTCCATTCCACCAAAAAATCTTCCGAAAATTCTGATACATTTTGGTTGCACCAGGGTGAAAACTCATCCTGCTCTTATTTGCTTCCTTAAGTATCATTTGCTTTAACTCATTCACTTGGGGAATGCACACTCAGTTTCAGAACTTAATCACCCCATTTTCATCACAGTGGAACTCCAAATTCTTTCCCTCATTCCTCTGCCTCATCATATCTTGCAGAAAAACATTTCTCTGTTGCTCATTTTGGACATATATCAAGAAGTCATTATGGATTGTTGTTGTCCCAAGGTACAAATTCCCCGGTCTTGCTTCCATGGCCAAATTCATGTCTCGAAATTCCTCAATCAACTTCATTTGTTTCACCATCATCACTACCATATGCAATGATTTCTAGCTGAGAGTGTTGGTTACCACATTTGCCTTGCCGAGGTGGTAAAACAAAGTGAAATCGTAGTCCTTGAGGAATTTCATTCATCTCCTCTGTCGCATGTTCAGCTCTCTCTGATCAAACAGGTATTTCAAACTCTTGTGGTCACTGAACACCTCAAACCTTGCTCTATACAGGTAGTGCCTCCATACCTTAAGAGCAAAAACCATCGTCGCTAACTCCAAGTTATGAGTTGGGTGATTGACTTCATGCGAGCGTAACTGTCTTGAGACATAGGCAACCACTCGTCCGTCTTGCATCAAAACACACCCAAGTCCTTGTCCGGACTCATCATAATACACATCAAACTTTCTCTCTGGGTCG